ATACAGCGAGCGAGCCGCGAACGAGCAGCGTCCTTCCCAAAGTCCCTGGGGGGCGGCGGCGTCTCCTAAGTGTATTATATACGTCATTTGCATAGCCAATTATGCGGCACACGATTATTAGACCGTTAAGACCTTATTTGCATGTAGCTAGTATTAAGGATGCGCACGTAGGCCACCGCTACGCACCTTACCGGCGTCGTCGTCGACTATATACTACTTCGACTATACACACTTTTCCACCAACCCCCTCCCGAACAATATATATATATATATATATAATTCGACAACGACGTGTAATAAAGACGACGCAGACTGAATAAGCACTGTGTGTATGTATATATATTTGTATTATATTATTATTATTATATACACCAACAGCGTCTTTGTATAGTGGCGATAGTTTATATTGTGTGTGTGTGTGTGTGTGTGTGTGTGTGTGTGTTGCGCAGTGTATATGATGGCGGGGGCCGAGTATAATAATAAATTAACCACAGGCGTTTATTATAATTAAACCTCATCGTCTTGTACGAGGAAATTTCGACTAACAACACTCGGAACTGTCTTCGCAGACGTATCACGATATAATGACTCTATATATTATTATACACTCTGCAGTAGAGCACCGCGTGTTATACTGCTACTATATATATATATATACAGAGTGCAGTTATTAAACCAATAAGCACAAGGTACAAGTCCTCGTGTACGCATTAGAAATCTGCACAGCCACCAGATTTTTGTTTTTTTGTTACATATTATAACACCCATACTCTCTTGGGTTTCCGAAATATTTTCACTCACTCTCCTAGAGGTTCGTCATTGTAATTCTGCAATACTGTGTGGTATATGATAAATGATAATATATAATATGAGTACCTGCCTAATTAAATAACTAAATATTATATATTATGGTATACATATAAATATTATGTATATTATGACATATTACATTAAGTAGGTATCTACCTAAGCAGTGGTGGATATCCTAAGTTATACCCATTTATAAACACTATAATAGGTGTAATGATATGCTCACACACCATTATAATAAACTAAAATCTTACAGAATACTTAATAAATAACGGCCAGACTGTCGTTTGTAGAAATCGGTCACATCAAATAAAACCATTATTAACGACAACTAAGATATCGGCACGCACTCATAACGGTAAAACGCAGGGTGTGTGACTTTATTATACGATGCCGCCAGAGAAAAGGAAAGGAAAAAAGGGTATCTGCCGCCAAAGAATAATCTAGTTCCCAAGCTCACGATAACCTTTTGATAAAGCCGCCTACCACTCTCTGGTCAGCATCTTCTCGTCATCCCTTAAACCAGTGCATGAGCACCATTCACCGAGTAACAACCTCACAAAAAAGTCTAAAAGAAACCGATTTCAACGAGCGACACTCTGGACTCCTTATGTGAGCAATAATCAGTGCGTTTATTATTTCGATTTATACTTTAAAAAATATTACTCTGTGTCTATTAAAACCCTTACAAGATAATTCATAATCGACTGCGGATCAGGTAAGGCAATTAATATAATATTTTATATTAATTGCATTTGTTATATTATCTGTGCATGGTTTATATACAATTGTGTTGTATAGTGTATTTGATCTAATTCTCGAAAACACGATCTCGAGAGCCCTCCGAACACCTGGAGGAAGGTAATTGCTTAGTCTTACGATTTTAATATATTTATCGACAGGCGTCGTATTTTATTTTATATCGTAATTGTTGAGTCATTACACAGTGGCGCCCAACAAAGTTCAGTTTATTCAGATAAATAAACTGAGAATTGATCAAATACATTTTACAAAATTATATTAGATATAAGATTTTAATATTTTATTATTAAATTTAAAAAATAAATATTTTATGTTAAAAAAATTATCAACCCAAAAAAAAAAAAAATTAAAAATAAAACTTAGAAAAACAATAATAACTAAAATTAAAATTAAAAGGCTTATAAGCTTATAAAAAATTTACTTATTTAATAATAAAACATAATAAGTAACAAACATTAAAACTAAAAACTAAAGCTAAAAACTAAAACTAAAAACTAAAACTAAAAACTAAAACTAAAAACTAAAACTAAAAAACTAAAACTAAAAACTAAAACTAAAAACTAAAACTAAAAAACTAAAACTAAAAACTAAAACTAAAAACTAAAACTAAAAAAATATATATTATAGGTACATTCATAAAATTATTCTATTAAATTGAAGTAGGTAACATCTTATTTATAATATATTATATTATATTAATAATAATTTATACAATTGAATTTTTATAGTAAATACCTATTATTATTAATTAAAAAAAAAAAAAAAAGAAAACTAAGATACAATTTTTTTTTTTAGGTAAAACAAAATTAATTAATTTAATAACTTAACCTAAAATCCAATATAAAAAATATATATTTGTTATTTTTACATATAATACAATATACAGTATACATTAAGTATTATTAGTTATTATAATAAGAAAACAAACTAAAATTTCCCCTTTTCCAGTAAAACGAAAAATTTAATCATTTAATAAATTATAATATATCATTCAAACCTTAACATCAACAAAATTTTTTTTTTTGTATAAATTAAGTGACTACAATTTAATCACTAAGTAAAAATGTATACCTAAAACGAATATATAATTGTATAACAATTCATACTTGCATTATTTAATCAAAAAAAAAATATTATAATTATATATTATACATGAATTATTATACAAATATTTATTACGAGATTCTAATAATTAAACCTTAAAAGAAATTAACAAAATAACATAATTATTTAATATAAAAATATATAGATATAATTCATCAGATGAATACAAATCATAATCAAACAATACTTATACAAATAACTATTCGTCACATTTTTATATTAGTATAAATAAAATCCAAAATAATTAATTAATTTTCATTAACTTTTCTAATCTTTTATATTAGTATAAATAAAATCCAAAATAATTAATTAATTTTCATTAACTTTTCAATTAACAATAAAGAATTTTTTTTTATTATTATATTATTCTAATACATTTAATAATAAATTTCACATATGCAAAATTCCGACCAAACCCCCCATCAGGATAACATTAAATTCCCAGATATCGACTTTACCACTATCTCAACAAGTTGGATAAATAAATGCAATAAAGAGAAATTAATAACTGAATTATCTAGAAGACACCTAAAAACATCCGGTTTAGTTACAGATCTAAAAACTAGGTTACAAAAATATTTAAAGGGGGAAGCCATTTCAGACGATTTCGATACGCAAATAACCAATATATCATTTATCTCAGAACCAATTGACAAATCTAACGGTAATCTAATAAAAAACAGTATGCCTGAGAATAAAAAACCATATTTCAAACCAAGCAATTTCACAGGTGCTATTTCTGAAAACATCGATACATTTCTAAAAAAATATGACAGAGCTGCCATCATAAATGGTTGGTCTGAAGCCGAAAAAACTCAATACATCCCTGTATTTTTGGAAGGTTCCGCCCTTACTTTTTATGATAACATAATAGATAGTGGTGAAGACCTAAAATGGGCTGATTTAGAAAAAAAATTTAGGTTAGAATTTGAACCAATAGCGCAGACCGATATGCTCCGATTAATGTTAGAAAAACGTAAACAGCTTCCAGATGAACACACGGTATCTTACATTAACGATGCTGAATCATTATGTAGGCGCATTGATAGTAAAATGTCACAAGAGGAAATGGTCCGCAATATAATGAAAGGCTTAAACCCCTCCATAGCACGATACATAGGAATAATGGGAAATGAAAATTTAACAGAATTAAAAAGTAATGTGCGGAAATATGAAATGGTTGAATTTATGATTACAGGTGACACTCCTAAAACTTCACTTGATTTCGAAACAGAATTAATAAAATCTAAACTCCAACAAATTAACACCAATAAAACCACAAAAGAAAATGAAATCGATAAATTACGCGTAGAATTAAATAACTTAAAAATTATGTGTGGCCAACTTATAAACAATGAACAAAATAAACAACACCAAAGTAACATAGAACAAAATAATTCACTCGCACTTAAAAATAAACAAGAGCAAAATAAGTTTAACAATCAACAATGGCATACACAAGAACCTCAAACACATAATACTTCATATAATAATACACCATATTGGAACACAAATCCAACACAGTACAACCAATCATATTCCCCATCAAATCCAATGAACAATATGTCACAAATAAATTATTCGCCATATAATTATAGGGACTCTAATATTCAAAAAAAGCAATGTTCAATTTGCTCAAAAACTAATCACTCAGAAGATAAATGCTTTTTTAGAAATAAACCACGCCCATCAGTGTGTCAAATTTGTAATAAGTTCGGGCATACCGCTAACAATTGTGATCTATACATCAACAATTCAAAAAACTAAATGTAAGGTTAAACACGGCTGATAATTGTTCACCTTTAATTACGGCATCCTCGTATCAACACATAAATAAAATTAATTGTACACCCGATGCCCTCTACATCGAAGCTGAATTTAATAATATCACTCTACCAATAACAGTTGACACGGGTGCAAACATATGTTGTATTAGACAAGAATTATTACCCTTAGAATATACAATAACTCCAAGTATTATACAACTATCAGGACCAGATAATAAACCACTATGTGTGGCAGGTATAACAAAAATCAAAATTAAAATTAACAAATACAACTTCGATGTAGACACCTACGTCGTCAAAAATCTATCTAGCGCAATAATACTGGGCAATAATTTTTTGATAAAAAACAATGCCTTAATCGATTTTAAAGACAATAATATTATTCTAAATAATAATTTAAACATTCAGCTAAAAATTAACTATATAAACGCGATAAATTGTATAAATAACACCAATAATATTATAGAAATAAAAGATAGCATATTTAATTGCCCAGATGACTTCGCTATAGCACACTGTATATCTACTGACCTCAAAATGAATAAGGGCATAGCAAATTTGATATGCAAAGTATACGGCGATACCAGACCAAAACTTGCATTACAAGAAATTAATGTGGGAAACACCATACCTATAAACAGCAATAATAAAACTATATTTCATTTAATAACAAAAGTATTACACTATCATAAGCCCAAATATGAAGATCTAAAATCTTCAATTCACAACCTAAAACTTGAAGCCATAAAACTAAATATTTCAAAAATTGCAATGCCTACGTTAGCGTCGGGTTTAGACAAACTAAATTGGTCCGTTGTAAAACAATTATTATATTCAGAATTTCAAAACACTAACATCGAAATACATATATACCATAAAAATGACAAAAACACATCACAAAATTGGAAATCAAAAGAACACTCTGATATAATAAGTAATATTCATAATTTTCTCGACAATAGTAATGATAAAAACGAAACAAAAATAAAAGTCACACAACCCGAATACAACGATCAAGCCTATAACATATTCTCTACTTTCAAACCAGGAGAAAACGTACTCAGTGATGGGAATTGTGGGATATACGCCGTCTGCAATGCTTTAAATGACCATAAAATTAATAAAATAACTTCAATATTAGAGATACTACAATTATTAGATCTAAACGAACTACCAGATTATTGGTGGTCAGATGAGGATTTAGCCGCGATTGCACATTATTACGATCATGATACTTACATATACAATGACGACGATAATACGGGTATAATATATGGTTATGGAAATAGGTCACCCATAGTGTTATATAACATTAATAAAAATACTCATTGGATACCAGGCACTTTAACAACAACAAAATGCAATAAAATTCCTAAAAATATAATCCACATACAAGAAATGCCGACACTCATCTCACTAAATAGAAATATAAAATTTAAAAAAATAACAAACGATAGTAAAAACACAATAAATAATATAAATAAAATACAAATAGTCCCGACTCATAATTATACAAAAATAAATAAAGAACTAACAGACTCCTCCAACACACACACACAAAAATCATTCCCTAAAGTCGAAAGGATAGACTATACAAACTTAAATACAAAACAATCTTTAACAGATTCTGAGGGCACACCCTTTTCTATTTCCCCAAAATTAAGTATCACACAACACAACCAAGTTATTCAACTATTAACTGAATATAATCACATTTTTACTACAGACACCTCCAATATAAAAGCCGCTAATATTAAACCTTGCGAGATCAAAATGAAGCCGAATTATAAAGAACCAAAATTTAATGCACCCCATAGAGTATCACCACAACAGCGTCAAGAATTAGAAAGTCAAATTGACAAACTTTTAAAAGCAAACATCGTCAAACCAGTAGTTTCAAAATTTGCCGCCCCAGCTTTCCTTGTAAAGAAAAAAGAGATAGGCTCATATCGTTTAGTAGTATCCTACAAAGAACTTAATGACAGAGTAGAATGCGATCAATATCCATTACCTCGTACTGCAGATTTATTCAGAGCTTTAGAAGGATCAAAATACTTCAGTTCTTTAGATTTAAATAGTGGTTATTTTCAAATTTCTGTTGAAGAGAAAGACCAGTTCAAACTTGCATTCACTTCTGTATTAGGCTTATTAACTTTTACGAGACTTCCACAAGGCTTCAAAAATAGTAGTGCTATATTCCAGAGAGAATTAAATAAATCATTTTCACAAATTTTATACAAATCTATTATAATTTACATTGATGATTTAGTATCCTATGGCAGTAACTTTGATCAGGCGATAATTAACTTACGCGTAGCATTTGAAATCATTGACAAAACGAATTTTTCATTGAAAACAAAAAAATGTAATTTTTTTTACGATAAAATTGAGTTATTAGGACATGAAATTTCAACAATTGGTATACGACCGTTAAACAGAAATACAAAAGCAATCACTGAATTTAATAGACCAAAAACAATAAAAGACGTTAGATCATTTATCGGCATGTGTTCATACTATAGGAAACATATTAAAGAATTTGCTAAAATTGCACACCCACTTACCGAACTAATAAAAATTGGTAAAAATAAAATAATTTGGCTTGACGAACACGAAGAAACGTTTAATAAATTAAAACATTATTTAACTTCAAAGCCCCTCTTACTACATTTTAACGATGACAAACACGTATATTTGACAATAGACGCGTCTATATTGGGATTAGGAGCATGTATTGAACAGTCCGATGACACAAACACATTACGCCCTGTAGGATATGCATCTAGAAAGTTATTAGATTCAGAAAAGACTTACTCTTCCACCACCCTCGAGTTACTTGGTTTATGTTTTGGTGTCCAATATTTTCGAGAGTACTTATGGGGACGCAAATTTACAGTATTTTGTGACAACATAAGCTTACAATATTATAACAACCTAAAAATACCCTCCGCTAGGATAGCTAGGCTAACATTAAAATTATTGGATTTCGACTTCGATATTAAATACATAAAAGGCAAAGAAAACAAAGTCGCTGACTCGCTATCAAGAAATGCAATTAGCAATATTAAAATTATGAATATCATTAATGACGACAACGACGCATTGAATAACTTATACGATATTAAAACACAACAAAAAAATGACCAATTTTGCAATGACATAATAAAAGCACTGTCAAATATAGACGTACCCACTAACATAAGACGAAAATCTAGACAATTTACATTACAAAATGAAATATTATATTATAAAAGATACACACCACCAAAAAGTTATAACCCAATTCTTGTAATACCAAAAACATTGATTAATGAAATATTAAAATCCTATCACGATTCACCCACAGGTGGACATACAGGCATATCACGAACTATTCACAAAATTCAAAACAAATATTATTGGCCTTCATTACACAAAGACACCACTAATTTTATTAAATCTTGTGATGAATGTCAAGTCAATAAAAAAATGAGCGGTAAACCAATAGGTTTATTACATCCCATACCAATAACGACAGGAAGACCACTAGATAGGATAACATTTGACTACCTAGGCCCCCTAGTATCAAGCAACAAAAAACGATACATTTTAGTAGCCGCATGCAACACCACAAAATACATATTTACTAAAGCAGTTGAATCGGCCACGGCCGAAGCAACTGCCAAATTTTTAATAGAAATAGTATCACATTGGGGCTGTTTTAGAAACTTTTCGTCCGACCGAGGCACTCATTTCAGAAATAAATTAATCACTGATATATGTTCAAACTTAGGAATAAATCAAACTTTGTCAACGAGTTATTCACCGCAGACACAGGGGCTAGTTGAAAAAATTAATGGTGTACTAACAGGCTCCTTAAAAAACTATTTAACAAATGGTGATCAAACAAAATGGTCATATTTTTTGCCATACATAACATTAGCATACAATTCCACACCCCAAACTACCACCAAGTTTAGCCCGTTTTATCTAATGCACGGTTTTGAACCAATATTTCCCATAGATAACAAAATTATTCCCGAAAACGTACCATATTATTTAAAACAATCATTAATAGAACTAAATAAAATAAGGAATAAAATACCACAGCAAATTCATAAAGCTCAAATAGTTCAAAAAAAATACCACGATAAAACACATACAGCAATAAATTATAACATTAATGACTTAGTTATGATTAGTTTTCCATTCCTCGAAGTGGGAAAGTCTCCCAAACTAGGACCCATGTACAGAGGACCATTTAAAATAGTAGACAAAATCAACGATTTAAATTATAAAATAAAAATGACATTAAACAACAAAGAAACCGTCGACACTATACACGTACGGAGGTTAAAACCATACTACAAAAGGGTCTAAATTAGGGCATTTTCGATTTTAACTCTCTAAATACCACCATAATTAATCTAAAACGCAATAGGCTCAGCCCGTCAAAATATAAATATAGTTATATATTTTTGTTCTTTCTTCCTTCCCTCTCTCTTTTTGTTAAATTATTATAACAATAAAATAAATACAAACAACTCATACAATATTATAAAATACATATAAATGCAAAACGTGCAATATAACATATAAAAAAATATATCAACCAAACCAAATTATTTATATAACACGCACCACAATAAGTTCTAATAATATGAATTGAATATTAATATTCATACAAAAATAATAACAAATACACTACCTATTAATTTAAACATTTTACGATTAGTGCATTATTATACCTGTATGCACATTATTTATTATTATTATGTATAACATAACTTAAGTAACAATTAAATAAAACTATACATATGAGAATATCCTAGCCATAATATGTAAACCATTATTATTGGTAAAAAAAAAAAAAAAAAAAATTTAAATTTATATGTAATACGCAAATACACTATATAATTTAATATAATTTATTTGTCATACATTACTGTATGTTATGTTTTATTATACAGGTAAATGTTACAAACACACACTAACAGTATATTGTTTCAGAGACCAAGCCAAAACGTCAAATCACCCATAACTAAAGTATACATAAATAATTAATAAACAAATATATAATTAAATATTACCCATAAAAAAAAAAAAAATTAATAAACGCCCACAACAATTTTACAAAGATGCAGTTATCTAATACAAAATTAATATTCACATTTATTCTTACCCTAAAATTTAATCCCACACAGGCATTCATAGCTTACGACTGCGAAGGTCCACAAGTCAACATAACTGCATTTAACAGTATAAATGTAGACTTTTGTGAAAACCCAAAACCCACAGATATACAATCAATACCTAAAATAAAATTACTGCAGAAAATTGAAATACATTCACAACAATATAAATCATGTTTCATTTCCATAGATTACCTAATAACGAGATGCTCCACATTTGAAGACGCACAAATGGTAGAAGGGGGATTTTATTCCGAAATAATTGAACTAGGACACGCTCGATGCGAAGAAATACACCACAAATTAATTTACCAAACCCCGTTAGGGGGCATAATATCGGGCTTACATATAAATGAAACTTTTATTACATCTCACACAAGTGGTGGATCTCTAGACAAAAATGGCAACTGTATAGGGACAACATTTACAAATTCCAGGGGTACATGGAACAATGTAATAGTACAGGCTAAGTATAATATTCATTTATCTGAGGGCACAGCCATGGCAAATACCAAGGAAAATATTCTAATTTTACCGACAGGGTCTAGGTTAAAATTATCAGATTCTTATGGGCTTGACCAATACAAGGGGGAAATAATATGGACAAACGAAAGACAAGACTGTAGTATATCAGAATACGACGTATTATATGACGGACCAGCTTCCATTGTCACTTCCGAAACCCATAACAATTATAAAATTGATACGTACGTTGTAGAAACAACATACATAGCTTTTGCGCTAAAAAAAGTATCTATGACATTCGCGTGTAATATCCCGGTCATTCAAACTGAAAACAATCAATTACTAATTATATCCCACCCAATTTACGCAAACAGTTTCACTCCTAAACAAATTCAACCCTTTAATACTGACCTGCTATCGTATATCAACACAAAATTTGTATATCTGGAATACACGATAAAAAGAACAGTGACCAAGCTTTACGAAGACCTCATAAAAAAACAATGCAACTTTGAAAGACAGCTTCTCTTACAAAAACTCACCCTCGCTTCATATAGCCTTCCCGAATTCGCATACACCATAGGAGAAGGACCCGGATATATAGCTATAAAAAACGGGGAAATCATATATCTCCAAAAATGTAAACCTGTCAATGTAGAGATATCTATACAAACCTCATGCTTCGACGAATTACCGGTGCTGTATAACAATAGAACACTGTTCATGACCCCAAAATCACACATACTTCAAATTTACGGAACGCAGATTGACTGCAATGAATATTTGCCACCCGCTTTCCAAAAAAATGGAAAATGGTTTTCATTAACACCAAAGCCCCATAAAGTTAATAATCCACAAACACTAAAACCAGACACTGCACTAAGTTGGTCATACGAAAGTTCAGATAATTTTATGACGGCAGGCATATACACACCCGATATCATGAAAGCACTCCAAAATCATTTAATGTTCCCTCAAGAATCTGAAACGGTCCAAAGAAATTTAATACGACAGACACTAGGCCATGACGTTATAAACCAGGGTATAAATATAAAAAACCTAATAGATGAGCAGACTATAAGTAAATTAGTACATCAAGAATTACACAACATATGGGGCTGGTTCACGAGTTTCGGCAATATAATGTCTGGCGTGCTAGGATTAGTCATAATTTGTAAAATGATCATAACACTCATAAACACTGGGCTAAATATCACTTTATTATACAAGACATTCGGGTGGAGCATCAAACTTATTGCGGGCTTATTCTCCAACGTAACACACCACTTAATGCATAACACACATAAAAAACAATATAGTTCCAGCAATTGCCAGATTAAAACAATAAAACCTAAAAGGCATGATAAAGAATCCGAACAGTTATCAAATAATAGGAGACTCTCAGTATAAAAAAAATATATTTATCTATATAATATAAACACATAATTACACTAACAATAATGATAAATAAAAAAAAAAAATTCAAATCAAGACATCGCACAACACGCTCAAACTTAGATAACATTTTTCCTTTTTTTTTAACACCTAGTTTAGTAATACACACATAAATTATAGATTCTAAGATGGAAAATATAATATATCAATTATGCTTTAGTATAATCAAATCGATTTAAGTTTATGTATAAATGAGTACTTAGTATAAATACGAAGTATTATATAACTAGTATATAAGAATTACAGAATAACATTAATAAATAACAAATACAAATAACCTACTTTAAGTTACTTACCTAAGTACTAAAATACATTTAACCTAATTTAAGTTACTTACCTAAGTACTAAAATACATTTAACCTAATTTAAGTTAATATAAAAAAAAAAATAAATGTTAAAGCAAGTAAAATATGAAAAATATGTAAAAAAATTAACCTAATTTAAGTTAGCACAAGGTATAAAAAAAAAAAAAAAATGTTAAAGCAAGTAAAATATGAAAAATATGTAAAAAAAATTTAACCTAATTTAAGTTAGCATAAGATATAAAAAAAAAAAATGTTAAAGCAAGTAAAATATGAAAAATATGTAAAAAAATTAACCTAATTTAAGTTAGAATAAGATATAAAAAAAAATGTTTAAGCAAGTCAAATACAAAGAATGTACTACATTTTTTCTAACCTAGTTTAAATCAGCAAAAGCATCAAAAAAATTGTAAAAAAAAAAAATATAAATTAATAAAAAAAAAAAATAATGTAAAATAACTAACCTAAGTTAAGCTAGTAAAAGTAAGAAAATAAATGTTAAGCCTAGAAAATATAAAAAAAAAAAATGTCTATAAACTAAGTACATTGTAAGTGAATTAAATATGAAAAATGTATAATTAGATAAGCGCACCAAAAATATAATTGGTTAGAAGTTAAAACTTTGTAGAATATATAGAATAATAGCAAAATATGTAAAAAAGTAAAAAAAAGTCATGATATGTCAACATGACAATATATTGTATACAAATATTAAATTTAAAATAAATTGTATAGCTATCATTACAACACCAGATAGGGAACTTAAAATATAAAATATATATGATCAATAACAAGAATAGAAACACAACAATGGAATGTGGGGAGTACGAACCTTCAGTCTCAGTTCTATCCTCCTAATTTCTTCCTATGTAGTATGTAAACGTAAACCTTAATCTTACTCACATTGCCCCTTTTTGATTGTATAGTAAAATATTTTCTTTATATATATGTATATAAATGTCCAGTTTAAATTATATTCAAACTTTCGACTTTCAACTTTCAACTTTCAACTTTCGAATTTCAATTTTTTTTTTTTTTCACTTTTTCTCTCTCATATTAAATATTTGTACTGCTCTCACTCTCGCCCACGAGCGGTGTTGTGAGGGCACAACACAAAAAAGTGTAGGGTGGATGTAATGATATGCTCACACACCATTATAATAAACTAAAATCTTACAGAATACTTAATAAATAACGGCCAGACTGTCGTTTGTAGAAATCGGTCACATCAAATAAAACCATTATTAACGACAACTAAGATATCGGCACGCACTCATAACGGTAAAACGCAGGGTGTGTGACTTTATTATACGATGCCGCCAGAGAAAAGGAAAGGAAAAAAGGGTATCTGCCGCCAAAGAATAATCTAGTTCCCAAGCTCACGATAACCTTTTGATAAAGCCGCCTACCACTCTCTGGTCAGCATCTTCTCGTCATCCCTTAAACCAGTGCATGAGCACCATTCACCGAGTAACAACCTCACAAAAAAGTCTAAAAGAAACCGATTTCAACGAGCGACACTCTGGACTCCTTATGTGAGCAATAATCAGTGCGTTTATTATTTCGATTTATACTTTAAAAAATATTACTCTGTGTCTATTAAAACCCTTACAAGATAATTCATAATCGACTGCGGATCAGGTAAGGCAATTAATATAATATTTTATATTAATTGCATTTGTTATATTATCTGTGCATGGTTTATATACAATTGTGTTGTATAGTGTATTTGATCTAATTCTCGAAAACACGATCTCGAGAGCCCTCCGAACACCTGGAGGAAGGTAATTGCTTAGTCTTACGATTTTAATATATTTATCGACAGGCGTCGTATTTTATTTTATATCGTAATTGTTGAGTCATTACATAGGTATAGTACCTACATAATATTATGGATATAAAAGTCAACGAATGATTTCTCTTTCGCTCTTTAATTTACAGATCGTTAGAATAGAAAAATACATTT